GAGAGAAGAGGAGAGAGAGAGATCCAATCTCACCTTATGATGTATCACTTTTTTGGCTAGCTTCATAGCTTTCCTAGTCAACTTTCAAACCATGGAAATAACAGCAATGTGCTGTCCATTAATTTGTTCATATTGTCATTCTGAACATTTTCCATCTCTAGTAATTCTTTTTTCCCCTAGTAATTCTTTAAATTGTACTTATATGCATACACGACAGTCAATGCTTTCCTGCCCCCTGGTGCTATGTCTACCCTCAACACAGGCACCCTTTTGCCAAAATTGTCAAATGAAGTGGGGAAATTCAAGACTTCAAACACACTCTAAAGCTCAGTTTGAAAACCGTAAGATGGATTGTAGGAAGCTTCCTTTTAATAGACTCACAGTGTTAAACTCATGAAAATGTGTTTATCACAATTACAATGAGTTTTCGTAGTTCCTTCAACCTCTACTTCCTGGGCTCATTCAGGACAATGATGGATGGTATGACTCACTCCGTACCTCTGCTTGGCGGTAATCCTGAAGTTTGGCAAACTCATCCGCAAAGTTTTTCAGACCCTGCTTCAAATTTGGGGTCTCTGTAGAGGCATACATGTTGATTTCATTCACCAGAAGGTCTGCTTTGTCTCGCAGCCTGGCAGTTTTCCGTACATAAGCAGCAAAGATTTGGCACAGCTCTCCAAAATGCTTCTCCACGTTTGTGACAGCATCCTGCAGCTGTTTTGTTTGAGCATCCCTGGAGAAAGAGGAGACACCAAACGCAGAACACTCCTTAAAAACGAGGTGGTTTCGCGTTACTCTGATAAGCAAACCTTCCTGGGCATGCTGGAGCCTAGAAGGCGCAAAGCTCCCCCACCCCCTGGATCCCACAGCCTCCCGAGGCCGGTCCTCCAGGACCATGCTGGGGCCTGGGCCCCTGCAGGCCCTGGGTGAGGCCCCGGCAGGCCGAGTCGCGGAGGGGCGGCAGCAGCGCGGTGCCGCTTGGCGCCGGCGGCCTCCTGGGCTCGGTATGCTCCGCCGCGTTGCTGGCTGGGCTCAAGCCGCAGCGGGCCGGCGGCGATAGCCCAGGGGACCAGCCGCCGAGAGCCTCGGGGACGTGCGGCCTCCTGGCCCGGCGGCTCTGGCGAGGCCCTCTGCCCGACTCCTCTCGGCCGCTTGCCCGTCAGCTCGGCTCGGGCGGCCTGCACAGCGACACCCCGGGCGGTTACCGGTCTTCCAGGTTGCGCCTCAACATTCTGCCTTGTGCGGTACGCGGGACCCAGGCTGGGGGCCCAACGACCAGGGCTCCGCGGCGCCAGGGCTGAGGAGCAAGAACCGCCAACACCGTGCTGCTGCTGCCAGAGGCGAGAACGCGCCGTGCGCGCCGCCGAGCCCGTCCCTCGTTCCTAGGGCAACGCGGCGCGTGCCCCGGAGGTCTAGAGCCAGGTGGGGAGGGCACGGAGCGAAGGACCGCCCATCCCTGCAGACCCGTGGGCACATTGGCGTCAGGCTTACCCTTCCATCCTGCCTCGGCGCAGCTCTCCAGCTCTTCCAGGCCGCTGTGAGCAAAGGAGAAAAAGCCAATCAACCAGCAACCAGAAGAGGGGCGTCAAAGTATAGCGAATGGGGTCCAGGCTCCTACGTTTGTGTAGTCTTTATTACGTGCTTGTCTGTGTGCATCTCTGATAAGCTTAATGGTGTGGACGCTTGGAAACTGTAAAGACCCCTGCCTACTGCCTCATTTTTAACGATTCATTTTTCCCCCCAACAAATATTAAACTGAGTCTCTACTTTGTAAAAGAGGTTATGTTAGACCGTAGGAATAATACAAAGGCAAGAAGCAAGGGGTAGTGGTTGAAGGTCCCCAGAGTTTGATGAAACAGACACTTCAACTCAGTACATTGATCCAGATCTTTTCTTTTAACCTCAGAACACTCATGGCCTTGATTATTTTTGGTGAGCTGATCTTCCAAGTGCTTCAAGAAACCTTGGGCTTTTCCCACACCTGGCTCATCCAGGGAACCTCAGGTATACTCTTGATTTTGTATTGTCTTCTGACTTTGAGGTAGAGGAAATGTGAATTTGTTCTTAGAGACCTTAGGGACTTCTACAACTCCATGAAGGTTGATTTTGCACAGTGGATGCCCTTGGTTCTTTGTAGCCTCTGTTTTAGATTGTCTTCACTCTGATGTTATAATGTGTACCGCTTCTTCCTTGCATTCATTCAGCAAGCCAGCTGTTGATGTCCATGGTCTCTGAGAGTGTTAACCCAAAGTCAGAATGGTCTTTTAGAATTCATAGCCTTGGAGAAGGTATAGACCTAACCAAACAAATACATGTAAAATTGCAACTGAGGAATGTGCTACTGTGTCAGCTTTTGCTGTGTAACAAATCAAAACAATTGTGTAAAAAATCCTTTAAGTAGCTCAGGATTCTGTGAATGAACTGGATGTTTCTTCTTTGGTTCTGTTCAACTGGGCTGTTTCCTTCCTTTCTGGCCAGGTGGTGAATTGGCTGGTGGCTGGATATTTTCTTTTGGTGCTGTGGTTTGGGTATGGCTTGAGTGTGTCCTCCAATGATTCATGAGTTGCAGGCTTGGTCCTTAGAGTGGTGGTGGGACGGGCACACCTTTAAGAAGGGGAGCATAAGAGACAAATGCTGGGCCGTTGGCAGTACCTCCCTTGAAAGACAAAGGTGGGTCATAGGCAGTGTCTCCCTTAAAGGGACTCAGGTGGGTCACAGGTAGTGCCTCCCTTGGATGGGATTAACAGATTTTTTTTTTTTTTTTCCTGAGACCTTTATTGATTATCTGGAGAGAGTTGTTAACTTAAGTCCCTCAGATGCAACTTTTCCACTCACACATGCTGCTGCCCTTTTAAGCCCATCTGTTATATGGAGTCTTCACCACAGCAGAGCCACCTCCAGAATTATGACCCAAATAAACCCTTATTTATATACAGATGCCAGCCTCAAGTGTTTTTTAAAGATTTATTTATTATTTATATTATGTATGTGAGTGTGTGCTTGAGTGAGTTTATGCATCTTATATGTGTTCAGGAACCCAAGGAGGCCAGAAGAGGACATCAGATACCCTGGAATTGGAGTTACTGGCAGTTGTAAGCTGCCATATGGTTGCTGGGAACAAAACCGAGGTCCTCTGTAAGGGCAGTAAGTGCTGTTAACCTCTAAGCCATCTCTCAGCCTCAGGTATTGTATTATGGTAATGTAAAGCAGACAAATAGAGATGGCCTTGTAACATGTCTTGAGATAGGCAGTCTGTCACCTGGGGCTCTCACTCTTCAGCAGGCCAGCCAGGCTTCTTGAGGTAGTTTCTAAAGTAGCAAACAAGACATGGCAAGTCCCACTGTACAAGTCTCTGTCATGTATGCCTCTGACCCATTGGTTGATGTAAGTCACATGATCCAGAGCAGAGTAGCACACTGACTTTTTCTTCCTCTTTTCTGATTATTTTCACTTTTTAAAAAATTGAGCTTTTTTAAAAATTTCATACATTTCCCACTCAAATCCAGACCCCCTCCTCAATCCATGCTTCCCCTATACCCCCACTGAACTCTATACACTCTGCCATACATGCTGAATCCTATTCATTCAGGTGTTTGTACCCAAATGTCCTTCAGTGTAAATGAGTGCACTGGAGTCTAGTCAGCCCATCCAGTGGTCATATGTAAACCATACTCTCCCCCACCCAGCAGCAATCAGTCTCAAATAGCTCCCAATCTAGTGCTGGCCCACCACCTATTTCTCACCTCCCCTTTGGGCTCTTGTTTAATTGAGCTGACATGGGTCTCATGTTTGATACCATTGTTGCCACAGGCTCACATGAGCTGTCCCCACCCCCACTTTGCCATCGGTCTCCTGATTTGCCAGCCTCAGTCCTGCCTACTATACTACCCTAGTAAATCAAATCCTGCCCACTGTGCCTTGATTCCCCTGCAGCCTCTCTGCCTATGCCCAATCCCCACTTCTAGCCTTAGGCCTGGGCCCACTCCTGCTCTTTCTGCCCCAGATCTCTGGACTAACCTCTTAGTCCATACCTGCCCACTGCATCCTGATCCCTTGCACCAAGAGTAGGTCACTTCTCCAGTTTCATTTGTTAGACTCTCCACAGGCACCCTACCTCTATCTTGCCTGTACCCTGCCCCCGTCTGCCTACCACAGACTTGCCTGCTACCCAGACCAACCTATTACCCACTGAGAACCTGAAGCACACACTAACTTTTCATACCTGAGCAAAAAGCAACCAACTTACATTAACAATAAAAACAGAACAAAAGTTCAACTAAATAAAGGCAGAACAGAATTTTCTATCAAAAGCTCAAGAAAATAGCAAATATGCACCTGAATGAAATAACAAAAACAATTTGGGACTTGAAAAGTAAATTCTCAAAAGAGATAGAAATATTAAAGAAAACCAAAGCTGAAATAAAGATGGAATTGAAGAACACAACAAGCCAATTTGAAATGTCAGGAGAAAGCCTCATAAGCAGAATGAGTGAAAGGGAAAACAGAGTATCAAGACTGGATGACAAAGTTGAAGAACTATACTCCTCAAGCAAAGACTATAAAAAATTTAAAAACACAGAGGAATGGAATATGCAGGAAATGCAGGAAACTATAAAAAGACCAAATCTATACATCATAGTAAGGAGAAGAATTTCAGACCAATGGCATTGACTAGATCTTCTATAGGCTTATACAAGAAAACTTCCCTAAATTAAGGGAAGACCTTCAGATACAAGAAGCACATAGAACACCAGTTAGAGAAAACTAGAACAGAAACTCCCCATGGCATATCATAGTAAAACCTCTAAATGTACAGAACAAAAAGAGCTGTTAGAGCAAAACTGAACGCTCTTAGAGAAAAACAAGCTACACATAAAGGAAAAACCATCTAAATTAAAGCTGACTTTTCAGTGCAAACTATGATAGCCAGAAGAGCCTGGACCAAAGTATTCCCAGTTCTAAATGACCATGGATGCCAACCCATAATATTTTACCAGGCAAAATTATCTATCATAGCTGAAGGGGAATGGAAAATTTTCCATGATAGGAATAGGCTGAAATAATTCATGTCCACTAAACCAGCCCTCCAGGAAATACTCAGAAGCAATACAAAAGAATGAAGATAGGAATGACCAAGAGGTTACAGAAAGAAAACAAAGAAAGATATAACTATGGAAGCACAAAATAGGACCGAGAGCACAAGCAAATTAAAATAACAGTAACCAATACACATCATTTAATAATAACTCTAAATATCAATGGCCTCAGCTCCTCAGTCAGAAGACACAGGCTAATGAAATGGGTTAAGAACCAAAATCAATCTTTTGTTGTTTGCAAGAAATTCATCTCGCCTTCAAGGATAGGTGCTACCTAAGGGTGAAAGGATGGAAAAAAAGTATTCTAAGCAAATGGCACTAAGAAGCAAGCAAGTGTTGCAATTCTGGTATCTGACAAAATACACTTCAAATTAAAACTAATCAGAAGAGATGAAGAGGGTCACTTCATTATAATCAAAGGAACAATTGGCCAAGAAGATATTACAATTATGAACATACATGCACCACACTGTGGTGCACCCAATTTCATAAAAACAGTACTATAAGACCATAAAACACAGATTAACCCCAACTCAGTAATAGTAGGTGACTTCAGTACCCCACTATCCTCATTAGACAGGTCAACTGAACAAAAAAATAAACGTCTGAATTAAATGACATCTTACATCATTACATCAATAGAACTAACAATATTCCACCTAAGCACCAAAGAATTTACTTTATATTCAGCAGCACATGCAAGTTTCTCTAAAGTTGACCACATCCTGGGACACAAAAAAACCCTCAATATACGAAAGGTTGAAATAATTCCACACTTTCTATCAGACTGCAATAGAATAAAGCTTATAATCAACAATAAAAGAAGCCCTAGTAACAACATGAACTCATGGATATTAAATAACATACTCATGAATGATGAAGGGGTCAAAGAAGAAATTAAGAAATAAACATATTCATGGAACTAAATGAAAGTGATAATACAACACAACACAAGAAAAACCCTGGGACATTTAAAAATCAGTCTTAAGGGGGACATTTATAGCTCTAAGTGCCTACCTTAAAAAATCAGAAAGAGCACATATAAATGACTTAACAGTGCTTCTCAAGTCTCTGGAAAGGCAAGAACAAATGAAACTGAAACCTAGCAGATGAGAAGAAATAACAAAAATCAGAGCAGAAAATAATGAAATAGAAACAAAGAAAACAATATAAAGTATCAGTGAATCTAAGAGCTGGTTCTTTGAAAAGTTAGACAAGACAGACAGACACTTAACCCAGTTAATCAAAAGAAAGAAAGAGCAAATCCAAATTAAC